GAATCGAACCCATGTGAGTTAATATACAAAGTCAAGGTTTGTTACCATTAGACCAGAAGCTATAACTTAACAAAGTTTACAGAACAAGCTGTACTTATAAAAGTTTCACTAAATATACTTAAGGTACTAGGGTCAGGGACCAATCCCGGGGGGCCGGGGCCCACCCTACCTCCAATGTACCTCCGCCCCTGGTTGAGCCCTAGGATCAAGCTTACTTCGAGTTGCCTGAATGGTTGCTGCATAAGTGAGACAACCAAAGACCTTAAGATGCGCCAAACTTGGTGGCACACCATGTAAATTTTCATATGGAGTAGTGTTCTGAATAAGAGTAGAAGGAGTTCTGTTTATAAGATGAACTGCATGCATTGCAGCAAAATTCCAGAACTGAGCAGGTAAGGAAGCCTGAAAAAGTAAAGCCCGAGTAACAACTAAGATGTGCTGATGTTTTCTTTCCACTATACCATTCTGTTGTGAGGTATAGACACAAGTAGTTTGGTGAATGACACATTTGGAAGAATAGAATTCTGGAATGTGGAATTCAAGACCATTATCAGTACGAATTGTTTTAATTTTAGCCTTGAACTGTGTTTCTATGAAGGCAAAGAAATTAATAAGGGTTGGCCGAGCTTCTGATTTGTGTTTCACGGTGAAAATCCATGTATGACGAGTGAAGTCGTCCACAATGGTAAGAAAATAAGCATGACCTTGAAAAGACAGAACATGGGCATTTCCCCATATATCCACATGTATGAGATCAAAAGGAGCTGAAGTTTTACTTGTACTAATAGCAAAAGGAAGGCGTTTTTGCTTTGCCATAGGACAGACAGTACAATGAAAACCAGACAGTGAAGAGATGTTACTATCAATGGTTCTAAACTGAGAGAGTTTACAGTCTGGCACATGGCCAAGGCGATAATGCCAAATATCTATGCTAGGCTGAGAGGAAGAATATGCAATTCTGGAAGGGTAGGCAGGTTTTGTGTTGAGCTGGAGATTATGTTGAAGTTGTTTGGTCTGAGATGGAAGATGGAGTAAGTAAAGGCCATCAACCAAACTAGTTGTTCCAATCATAGTCAAACTGGGGTAAGCCTGTATAAAGCACAAGGAATAGTGAAACCATAAGCAGATGGTTGTACTTCTGACTAGTTTACTCACATAAACCAGATTGAAACTAAAAGATGGGACTAACAGAACATCAGTCAAAATAAGATGTTCTGAGTATTGAACAACACCTATAGCAGTCAAAGCTACTTTACTATCATTAGGCATATGGACAAAACCATTAGAAACAGGTTGAGAATGCAAAAAATGAGCAGGAGAACAGATGATGTGATCTGTTGCTCCTGTATCTAAGATCCATTTGTTCTGAATATGGCAGTTAACAGTAGAGGCATAGTGAAGTGTACCTGTAGAGTCAGGGACTTCAAAAGCATGAGAAGCAACAGAGTTAGCTCTACTGACACTGTTGTGCTGTCCAGAACCCTCACTTTCGTTGGAGACTGAATAGTGAGAAGGATTATTAACCTTGTAGGCATCAGAAAAAGCAGCTGGAGCTGGGACATAATGCTGCTGAACAGAAAATTGATTCTGTTGAGGAGGAAACTGATTCTGAGAAGATAGGCTCAGGAGTGCTCTGATACCATGTCAGATTTCTGATTAATTCCTCTTTGCTTGATTGAGAGAATGAAAAACAATCTTACATTGTTCGGCCAGAGTAGTTGACTTTTATACTCTATCTACAAAGCAGAAGAAATTAGTTACGAGTCTCTAACTAACCTAACTAAATTACACAATAGTACCTAACCTAATTACATTCTATCTACATAAGTTTGTACCTATTACAAATTGATACATAATATCTCTAATATTGTTGTCGGTTTATACATCCAGGTTACAGTTCCGAGTAATGTGGACAATTGCAAAGATTTAATTTTTGTTTAGTGTATTTAGTGATGGAGATAATAACAATTTGAGAAAAGTAAGAGACGGTTGATAGGGAAATAAATTTCAATGATAAAGAGAAGTGAATATAATGTTCATTGATTGGATAAGATAAATTCTAATAAGTGAAAATTATTTTTTATATGAATTTGCGATTTTTCAATACTTAAATAATTTAGGCTCTTTTCTGATAGCAAATAAAATGTCATTTCTTCAAATAATTATTATTATGACATTAATAAAATATATCTGGCCAACGGGTCGGACCCAAATATAGTACAAAACTATAAATAAAGCGTGATGGTCATTCAACCAAGAACAATTTAAATTTCTAATCCTCTAAATAAGAAATATAAAAAAAATCTAGTGGTTAGAGTAACAGATCATTTCAAAGGCTTTTCTTCTAAAATATTTTTATCTCACTAAAATCAAGTATGTTTATGTGAAAAAAATGTATGTTTTCACTTATATTGTTTTGTTTGTTCTTAGCATGAAACTTTGAACCTGTTTTTCATTCGTTTTTATGAAAGATTTACAACACTTACAAATACATAATGAATTAGCGTCACATCCTTAAACATTAAAATGACATATCGTCGCTCATTTCTAATCAGAAATAGACGAATCTAATATCACCCATGCATCATGATCCATGAACATGGCCGCAAAACTCAATCTCTTGTCAACCATGATCACTTTGAATTTTATTTCTTTTTAAAGCTAGGTACATACTATAGGAGTTTTAGAAAGAGTAACTTGTATTATTATGAAACCACAAATGGGTTTATATAGATTACAAAACTTGGAAAATAAGTAACAGAATCACAATACTAGAAGGACACTGAAATACTAAGAACTATACTAGAAGGACAAGGAAATATAAGATTATTCCTAATCTATCTCTAACACGTCCCCACAAGATGATGGTGTGAATAACAACATCAATCTTGACCGACATACACCAATCTTGAAGAACACTCCCCCGCAATGTAATGATATAGAATGTGATGCAAAATCGTCGAACTCTTGTGCTTGAAGAGCGAAGCCAACTAACCGTCATCTTGGAGAAGAAGAAATATTCAAACTCGCAATTCATATGTTGCAACCAAACTCACTCGTTGTAAAAAATTGACTAGAAACGAGATTGAACAATAATCAATTGGTTTTAACGATACCAATAAACGTAAACTGGTGTAGGACACGAAAAATTCATCCGAATGACCGTGATCGGAGAAACTTCCTTTGTTCCATACACACAAAGGAGAGATGGCTGGAAATTGAACGTGGACTCCATACCATACAAACTCTTGAGCAATCAACTGTAAAAAGCCGGAGCTTCATCTCCAATGTAAACGGCAATGTTTGATCTACAAAGCACAAAAAGTTAGTAGAATCGACGACAATGAAAAATAGCGATGAGTGATGATGGGGGTATGGCAACCGGAGTATTGGACTTTGCTGGGGACGAAATACAGGGATGGGGATCGGATTAGGGTATTGTTATTGAGAAAGAAAGAATAAATAAACTACTAAAGCTCAAGGCTACCGGAAATAATAATAATAATAATAATAATAATAATAATAAAAACAATATAAAGAAAGATGACAATGGAATTTGGTGAATGCCTGAATCAGGGGCGGAGGTACATTGGAGGTAGGGTGGGCCCCGGCCCCCGGGATTGGTCCCAGCCCTAGTACCTTAAGTATATTTAGTGAAAATTTTATAAGTACAGCTTGTTCTGTAAACTTTGTTAAGTAATAGTTTTTGGTCTAATGGTAACAAACCTTGTTCAATTCCCATCTACCATATATATTTTGCTTAACTCAGTTTTTATACTTCATTAACTTTCATTAACGAAAATCCCATGCCCATTTATTACTTTAATAATTCCAAGTCCCAACTTAATCTCCATCTCCCATGTCCCCAAATCAAACGGAAATCCCATCCCCCATTTATTACTTTAATAATTCCAAGTCCCAACTTGAAATGGAAAAACAAATCCTTATTTATTATCCAACCTAAAAAGCCTAACCCTAGTCTGTTAGTCTCCTCTCCCGTTCGTATTACTGTTGTCTTTCTTCCTCTGCTACAACCTACAAGTGGGCCAATTAGCAATTGGGGTATGTGAAAAAGAAGTATATCATCTCCAAATCAACGTGAATAAGAAGCCAATACTTTGTCCTTAACTGCAGCTTTTACAGTCCACTTTTCTCCAAAATCATTAATAAGTCAGGTAAGTGTAAGTTTAAACAAGTTCTGATTTTGTTATGTTTTTTTTATGTTCTGGCATACAAATACAATATAATTCTTCTCCAGTTTCTTTTTTTTACCAATACAATATAGTTCTGATTTTTTTTCTTTTACTGTTTTTGTTACGGTTTTGCTTTCGGCTCCAATTTGTGTAATCTTTTCAAATGTTATTCTCTATATAATAATAGCATCTTATGTTTTTCAGTGAATATGAAGAGGAAGCAAAATACGATTGATTCTTTTTATAAGAAAAAGGAAGTGTTACAAGCTGAAAATCTTTTACAAAGCGAACAAGTGAAAAATGTGGAAGAAGAAGTGGAAGAAGAGGAGGAGCAAGAAGAAATCCCTAGTTCAAGAGTTAAGGATCCATCTTTTGCTATAGTGGAACGAGATCCCGGTTTGCGAAATCCAATTTGGACATATCCGCATGGCAAACAGGACGAGATTAGGCGAGCATATTTGACATCCGGTCCTCACCAAGTTCGACTTCCAAAATTTCCCAAGACTCGATTTGGTGATCATCTTCGCAGCTTTCAAGCCTCATGGTACAAATAATTTCCTTGTATTGAATATTCAGAAACAAAAGACGCTGTTTATTGTCTACCATGTTATCTCTTTGCGGAAAAGCCGATCGCTGAATCTGGTTGGGATGTATTTACGAATGGAGGTTTTCGAAATTGGAAAAAAGGTTCATGGAAAGGATTGTTCTTTCCAAAAACATATTGGGGACAAACCGAATTCTCATCACAATAATGCTGTGAGAAAACGTGATGCTTTGCTAGAACAATCTGGGCACATTGACAAAGCGATGGAGAGACAAACCTCTGAAGAAGTGAAGAAGAATATACTTCGGGTGAAATCTTCAATACAGGTTGGTCGTTTGTTAGCGTTGCAAGGGCATGCTTTTAGAGGCCATGATGAGTCTATTGAGTCAACTAATCGGGGCAACTTTATCGAGCATCTTCAATTTTTAGCCGATAACAATGAAGAAATAGATAGTGTGGTATTGGATAATGCTCCACCAAATGCGAAGTACATATCACCTGAGATTCAGAAGCAAATTCTGCATGTCTTGGCTGAGAAGATAAGGACCCATATCTTTGAAGAAGTTGGAGATTCTAAATTTTCAATAATTGTGGATGAGGCAAGTGATGAAAGCAATCATGAACAAATGGCGATTGTTCTTCGCTTCGTTGATGCTAAAGGGTTGATACAAGAGCGCTTCTTTTTTTTTGGTGGAAAAGAGCGCTTCTTTGATATTGTTCATGTGGAAGATACAACATCAAAGACTTTGTATTCTGCAATCCGCTCAGCTCTTTCTTTCTATAAGTTCCCAATTCAAAATCTTCGTGGACAAGGATATGATGGTCTAGTAGCATGCATGGTGAGTGGAATGGATTGCAGGCATTATTTTTGAAGGAATCTCCTCAAGCATATTATGTACACTGTATGGCTTACCGTCTTCAGTTATCATTAGTTGCAGCTGCTAAAGATGTATTTTGGGTTCATGAGTTTTTCACATTCTTATCAAGCATCGTAACTGTTGTTACTGTATCTTGTAAGCGCCAAGGTCAGTTAGAAGCTGCAGAAGCATCTAAAATTGCACTTTAGCTAGCGACAGGTGAAATTGAGACAGGAAAAGGTGCTAATCAGGTTAGTACTTTACAACGACCTAGTGATACCCGTTGGAGTTCACATTTGAGATCTATATCTAATCGTATCAGGTTGTATGGTTCAACTTGTAAAGTTTTGGAGAACATAATGAATGACGGAAGTAGCTCCAAAATCAAATGGGATGCTACTACAGCTTTAGAAAGAATGAAGTCATTCGATTTCGTCTTCAATTTGTTTATGATGAAGAAAATATTGGGCATCACTGACATGCTTTGTGTAGCTTTGCAACGAAAGTCTCAAGATATTCTCAATGCAATTAGATTGGTGGACTCCACAAAAAAACTCTTGACCGAAGTTAGGGAGAAAGAGTGGGATTCTTTGCTTGCTGATGTCAATGCATTTTGCAAGCAACATGATATTGAGGCTCCTGATCTTAGTGCTCCATTTTTCAGAGGTCGATCTATTCGAAAGGGAGATGTTACAAATGAACATCATTACCATTATGATGTATTCAATGCATTCATTACCACTAGAGTCAAGGTTTAATGATAGAGTGGTGGAACTACTGAAGTTGAGCTCAAGTTTGGTTCCTAAAGATGGGTATAAGACGTTCGACATTGCTGCTATCTGTAAGCTTGCAAAGGAGTATTATCCTCTTGATTTTTCAGAAGAGGAAATGGATACATTAGAGTTCCAGTTGGGGCTTTTTCGAATTGAAATTCCTAACCATTCTTCTTTGCTGAAGCTATCGTCTATTTCTGAGTTATGTCAGGGATTAACAAAGACAGAGTTGTCAAAGGACTTCTATCTTGTTGACAGGCTGATTCGTCTTCTCCTCACTCTTCCAGTTTCTACTGCTACAGGTGAACGTGCATTTTCGGCTATGAAGATAGTGAAGAATAGACTGCGAAACAAGATGAATGATGAATTTCTTGCTGATAGTTTAGTTATTTATATTGAAAGAGTGATAGCTAAAAGTTTTAGTTTAGATGCTATTTTGAGTGATTTCAATGATCTCAAAGAACGTCGTGTACTTCTTAAATAATTATAAAATATTATCTTAATTTTTTATTTAATTATTTTTCGGCCTCCCGGTCTCGAAATCCTGGCTCCGCCCCTGGCCTGAATGGAGAATGCAGGGCATCAATCGGCGGAAGGAGAAACGGGACCAGGTGAGTGAGGACTCATCCTGCGCCGACGAAAGGAAATAAGGTTATAGGATTCCTAGATTAAGGCTGTTAAGCAAGAGGTTCTGATATCATATAGGAGTTTTAGAAAGAGTAACTTGTATTATTATGAAACCACAAAGGTGGTTTATATAGATTACAAAACTTGGACAATAAGTAAGAGAACCACAAGAACTATAAGGAAATATAAGATTATTATTCTTAATCTCTATCTCTAACACATACATAAGCTAGAGATGTTGTACGTCGGAACTCCATACGATCGACTATATATTATCATCAATCAATCTTCAGCAAGTATATTCGCAAGAGTAACATGACTTGCATTGACTTGTTTTGCAGCAGTTGCCGGGGCACTCATTACACTCGCTATCTTTCGTGCAAAGTGAATCGTCCCCGCAATAATCGAGATCATTGATTTCACGATCAGCGGAGGTCCGGTGGGTCGTCGTATTAGCTCCGCGAGAGTGCTTGGTGATGGTGGTGGTTTTCCCGCCGTGGTCGTGGAAGCTAGTCGTCGTGATGTTGCCGCCGGCAGCCTGCGGCGTGGGAGGAGGACTGCTCATAGTCGTCGCCGACTCGCCCAACAGCGGTTGACCTATAATGTCAAGCAACATTGGAAGCAAGATCGTCATAATAATGAATGCCTGCAACTTCGCCATATATATATGTATGTACGTGTATTGGCACTTGATTTGATGCCATGGAGTGCGCGCGGATAGTATTTATAGTGGTGAGTTCAGTTGATTCTTATTCCCTAGAGCCGGCTGCCTTGTAAGTTAGCTTTTGGAATGTGTCGTTCGATGAAGGTTCGTGGGATCGAGCGATGGTGATTTTGTTGGCCTTCCATCTATATCTTTTGTCCACTGCTTGAAATGAATCCAAAGATGGACGACATGCATATACAGTAATACTTTAATTAATGTGGTTACGTACGTACTCCACCATTAGAATTCCTTCCTCAAAAAATGGCCACCACCACCAACTATGAATAATTCTAGCCTATCCGGGCAAGTGCTCGGTTGGGCTTCAACTTGCAGCACTGCCTTTAAGCCACTTGAGACTGTTGCTGCTACTCCAGCCGATCACGATCGAACTTCACGTTGGCACTGAGGCTGGCTCCTCATGCGCGCTGATTAGCTCCTTTCACCTCACTACGGGAAAATGGACCTCTTGCAACTCCAAAAATGTGTTGCATAAAGCATTAAAAGATTTGCAATATCCTAGCGCAACACTTTTACTAGGGTTGCATATAGTGGGGGTTGCAAAAAGAATACGCAATTGTTTTTTTTTCATTTTTCGCAACCAAAATAAAAAGGGTTGTGTATCTTTATCTCTTATGCGGCTCAAGATAGGGTGCATAATCATGGGTTATGCACCCATTAATAACCAAATCTGGACCCTTTATTTAGAAAATTCAGATCTAAGGATGGAGAATTAAATGTCGTTTTTATTTTCCCTACCTTTCTTAATCGACTCATATCTTTTTCGTTTTAACTCAGATTTTTTTTTTTGCACAGATGGAACGAGTTCATCGTGTTCTACAAAATGAGATCAATTTTCAATATTTTTTGAGAAATTTTTTTTTACCTCTCGGTACCAACTGCATACCATATGGTATCTTATTCGTTTTTAATTCGTTTTTGAAAACGTTTGCACAGAAGGGACGAGTTCATCATGATCTATTGGATCTACAAATTTCTGGATGAACAAATTACAGGACCAAAAAATACCTCACAATACCATACAATACCACCCTGGTACGATGTGGTATCTTGTGGTACAGAATGTTAAAAGTCGTAAATGACAATTAATATACTTCTACTATCATGTATTCAACCATCCTACAGTCTTTGTTTGTTCATACCACCATGATACGCTTTTCAAACCATAGGTATGCTCTTATTTCAATATCAATCAATACCATATGGTATAGACTGGTAAAAAATATATCAAAGTGGATATCATTTTGAAGAACACAATTAATCTGATCTAACTGTGCAACAAAAATTAAATTTCGACTTAAAACGAGTGAAAAATCGTTCATCAAAGATTAAGGAGGGGAAAATTAAAGGCTTTACAGGAGAGAGATGATGTTGATGTCATGCTGATGTGGACGGGTTACTCATAGTTACTCACCGTAAGGTTACTGACCTGATCCGTTCCCCTCCTATGCAACACCACTTTAGGTAACATATTTCAAAATATTTGCATCACATTTTAGTACCATATGCAACATTTTTTACACTTATTTTGCAACAGTTAAATTTTATTCGTGACGAATATAAATAGTCACAAATGACATTTTTTGTGATGAATTAGTGTCGACATGGAAAAACAACGGTGACACTTTAATTGTCACAAATAGTTGCACGTGTGACCATAATTTTGTCACAAATGCACTTTTTGAAATTCAAAGTATGATCTAGAGATAGTATTTTCGTCACTGAAGTAACTATTTATGACGTATTATGTTGTCGTGACAACGTCAACAATATGACGTGCCACAAATTGTTGTTATTGGTGACCATCGTTGTATCACAACAGATAGGGTTTGGTGACAACTATGATTGTCATTAAAGTGCAGCATTAGTGATGCATACGAATTATTTTCTTCTGTGACAATAAAATTGTCGCAATTGTATGTTTTGGTGATAAGGATTGACAATGGAATTATGTGCATGAAGTAGCTTTAGTGACAAACAATCATAATAGAAATTGATGTTGGTGACAAGAATCATTATCAAAATAAAGAAATCTAATCCACTAGATAATTAATCAACTATCTTAAATTACTTATACAAAATAGTATTATTGAAACAATCAAAACCATAAATGGTACACAAGTGACACAACTATTCTCTCATATCTTCATATGAGTACGCAACACTTATTGAAGGACTTCTCGATTCTCATTTCTGAAGATATCTGCAATTAAACTCAAAGGATGTAAGTAAGTAAAAAATGTGATACAAATAATTTCAATTATAAATCATTAAGGGCTCAAATAAACGATTAGTCATTAGTCAATCGAATTACAGGTACACAATTGTTGTGAAAGATAACTAAAAAAATACTGCAAAATTGAAAAAGTGGTAGGGATACTTACGACTCTCTCTCTCGTCTACAACTCATAAGAAAATAAGGTAGTTTTTTTTAGAAGATAGTATATTTTTGAATGGAAAGAGTTGGACTTGGAATTAAAGTTACAGCCTTGGAAGTAACTGGGATAGATTCATTTTCTTATGTCAATACGCAATTGGCTTTGAATACAGTTATAGATTGGCCAACGCTAAATAAAAAAAATTCATATATACCTACTAAGGGATTACTCGTGCACGTACACCAGCCAACAAAATTATTCGTCCTATATTCTCATCTAAGGTAGAGCCTAGAATACAAATTACATTAAATTGATTGACACGAATGAGAAAAAGCAAAAGACATAGGGCAAGCAAACACAATAGCATTGCCAAAAAGCAAACTAAAGATTACATACCTTTGAGGGCTCCGAATCAATTTCAGAAGAAGATAATAATGGGATTTGCAAATTTTTTGTATTACTGACAGAAATACAAAAAACAATACCAGTTGACGGCGAGGAGCTTGTCCCGATGAAGATTGGCAAGAGGCTGGAAAGAGAAGAGGACGAGCGAGTGGTTGGGATTTCGTAATAGGGTTTTCTGGTTATGCGTGGAAAGCCCATGGGTTATGAAATAAATAGTACATATTATAGAGCTACCCTTAATGTCGTTAGATCTTTCAAAGATAATTCACTACGGCTTAATAGGTAAGTAAGGGATATATGGCAGCAAATCTTTTCAGTGTCATGATTATCTTTCTTTTTTAATTAGACTTTTTTCCTTCTCGGCAGTTGCATTTTATTAATTAGACTTTTAATTCGAATACAACATTTGCATGATTGCATCACAATTTGTTGAAGTGTTGCATAAATTATATAAATACACAACCCATTTATAATTTCTGGTATATGTGTTGCCTAATGTAGAGCAAATGCAACAGGTAATTATTTTGGGTTGCGTTAGATACCTAATACGCAACCTCAAACAGAAGTGTTACCATTATATAGTTTACGCAACACTTTCAAATAGTGTTGCAAACCAAGTGTTGCAAGAGACCCCTTTCCTGTAGTGCCTGGAACATGTTGCATGCACCTGCTCTAGTATAATTAGGGCTGCAAATGAGCCGAGCGGGCTCGACGTTCGACTCGAGAACTCGTTCGAAACTCGACTCGTTTATTAATGAGTCCAGCATGAGCTAAGCCTTGAACAGCTCGAAAAGCTCGCGAGCTAACTCGACTAGGTGGCTTGTTGAGCTCAACTCGTGAGCTGACTCTCGTTTAGAGCTCATGAGATGTCTCAATATTGTGGCTATAGAAAGCCAACTCGATTACCGACTTATTAGATAGTCGATATATATCTTATGAGTTGGATTTTGGTAATTCATAGGATTGTTAAATTATATATCTCACCCTATATGAAGTTTAACCGTGGTTGAATATGTGAGCAAATATGTTTTGTTTTTTATTTTGAAAAGAAATTATATATTAATATTGCTTTTATAGTATGAAATAACATGACTTGGAGGAGTCAAAATTTATTAGCTAAATAATATGATACCAACAATCACATGACTAGTTAATGCTAATGCTGAGCATTTGACTTATTTTTCTATCATGACATCAATCACATGTATCATATATGACATACAAAATGAATGTATCAAATACAAGCCAAGATTTTAGTAAACAAGTATAGTTCGAGCTCGGTTAGACTCAGCTTGTTAATAAATGAGTCGAGCTCGAGTTCAGCTTGTTTATTAACGAGCGAAGCTCAAC